TAAGGGGATACTTTTTTTTAAAATAATTATATAAAATATATTTGTATATATAATTTTTATTTTGTAAAAAAATTCTACTTTTTTTATACTTTACACATTTGTTTTTGTAAAGTATATCAAGCAGCCACTATTACTGTTTGATAATGTAAATATTTTTTACATGATTGGTTATTATTAGGCTGCTCCAAACCTAGGAACAGCCAATAATAACTTTATTACTGACCCCAACATGCTGATTCTGCAGCATTTCAGGAGCAGATGTCACTAAAGTCTTCCGATCGTTCCCAGAACGATCAGAAGTCTGATGTTTCAACAAAGAAAAATTTTGCTACATGTTTCTATGCTTCAGCATAGAAACATGTAGCAAAAAGCCAGTACAAATCGGGATCTGTGCAGAGCTGTCAAAACTGTGATAGCAGAGCAGTTCTCACAGCTCTGTTATCACTGTCAGATACTCAATCGCTGACAGCGATCGGGTATCTGTAAAAGCTTAATTTTTTCAATAATGGATGCCTCAGTAGTTACCGGCTTTTGACAGCTCTAAATAGTTGTGTACGTGATTAGTCATTTGGGCTCTTCATGATAGGGATGTACAGTGTACATCTCCAGTCATGAAGGGGTTAAAAATGGATTTGTATTTTACTCCATGCAGTCTGAGATTAAACCAGAGTCGCATTTAGGTGCTTGCATTTAATGAATAATAACGACTCATGAAAGTACATAACTGCATACACTGGTGTTTTTCTGCTTGAAGTTCATTTTTAATGCTATAAAACTTTGAGATGCAGAAGACCATTAAAGCAATTTCTTCATAATTAAATATTGATGCAAAAGTCCTCTGACAACAAAAACTCTCTCTAGGATTATTACTTGTGTCACTTTACAGCAGCAGAACGTCTTATTACATAGGTTCTCTGTAGCTGGTTACTGTGATGGTTATTAACAGAACTGCAGAATTTCAGCTTCAAAGTTTTTTAGTATCGCAAGTTACTTGCTGCTGTTTTTTTTTTTTTACTTACTGAGAACAAAACTGCCATGCTTCGCAGTCGAAGATTATTTTTGTTTTAGCTTATGCAAATAAATACAATTACAGACTCTCAGGGACAGAAAATTCTGCCAGAAGAACATATTTAAAGTGACATTAAACCCTCAGATTTTTTAACATAAAATACTGTAATGTGTGCCTTACTGTAATCCATGGTTGTTTCCCTTCTCTTTGCTGCTCTTCCTTTTAAATCTGTATTGGTTCTCATGCTCTGCAGAACTTCTTTTTTGCAGCAGACTGCCTTGTCTCAGGAATGGCTACATGGTGTCTGTGTATAGGTTTGTATAGGCTTGTAACCTGAGCCAGCACTACAGGAAGAGGCCCTGAGCTTAAAAGGGAAGTTCTCCCCCAGCATGAGAAGACATGAGGATTTAAAAGGAAGAGCAGCAAAGAGAAGGGAAACAACCATGGATTACAGTAAGGCACACATTACAGTATTGGTTTATGTTAAAAAATCTGAGGGTTTAATGTCACTTTAACTTCTGGTAACCTGGGGCAGCATACTACAACACGGGGCTCAATAGATATATAGATATTATTTTAATGGTAAATGTTTTTTAATGGTAATTAATTGCCACATGAACAAAAGCTATTAGTTAGACCCCTCTTACACCTAGATCATTAGCTTGGATTACTGGAGCCACTTAAGAACAAGCTTGCAAATTTAAAAAAATCTTCCCAGCTTCCCCTGCCCCCCAAGCCCCCTCAATACACTGTACCACCACCTCTACCGAAAAGTGCTTTCCTACCTCCTCCAATGGCTGCAGCCTACAGTCCAACCAGTAAAAATCTACTTCTGGGTTGCCTACACACTAATGACCCATAGACATGAACGAGACATTGCTCCTGCAGCACTGGTATTTCTCGTTCAAGTCTAAGGGATGCTAATTTGCAGGGGGCTAGATTACAAAGATCATGGCATGTAAACACAGTAATTACTAACATAATATCATAACAGTTGATAAACTTAAGGAAAAGGAAAGATTAACATATATACATATAAAAGGAGACAACTTATAACTGTTATCATATGTAAGACCTAACAGTAGCTTTCTGCAATGTTAATTCTTCTTCACTGGAGGGTAGGTTGGATGAAGCTGTGGATGTGGTGATTTTCAGCCATTGAGTTGAAAGATGATATGCATTGCACTGGTTTTGGTAGATGATGGAGAGTACATTATATCTACATCATTCTATTTTGTATGATGAAGACAAAGTGAAGGGAGTTGATGGAAGGCTGTCCATTCTATTCTAGGCCTGTGAGCAGGAGTCCACAGGAAGGCGAGAGGGCACTAGATTTCTACCAGTCGGGGTGTAGACAGCCTAGGTGTCCAAAACCATTGGAGAAGGTAAGGAAGGAAATGCAGGTGGGGGTTCACAGATTAGTGTATTGAGGACTAGTAAGGAGGGCTAGGTGGATTTTTTAACATTCACAAACTTCTCCTTAAATGCTGTACTGAGAGTAGTTTTCCAGCCAGGGCCCAATCCATCATCACAGGCTTTGGAGTAGTTGAAACCCTTATACCTATGGTAGCTGTGATTTACTGACAACAATGTCTGGAATCATAATCCTTTGATTTAGCATTGAACTCTTTCAAAAACACAGTTTTACATTATTTCAATGTAGGCCCTATATTCTTTATTCACCTTAGGCACCAGATGGTCTTAGTACAATATAGTCAATATGAGAAAGACTTTTCCCATCAATAAACACATAATGTAAAACAGCAATTTCCTCTTTTCTGGAGATCCAAAACACTCCTCAGTGTCAACCATAAACTACAAGAAAAAAAGACTTTCAAATGACCTTCACATTTATCATTTATTAATCTGTGAAAATCTGTGGGTAGATCTCAAACATACAGCGCATGCAAGACAGCCTTATAATATTTCTGACTGTGCAGCATTCACAAAGAAAGACTGGGAACAATTTCCTAAAGCAATCATCAAAGACTCGTTAGATACCTGCAAGATATGTTTGGAAGCTGTGATTTCTGATAAAAGAAAAATAATGATGTTTTAATATTTATTAAATAACTAATAAATTATTACACTGCCTGTCCAAAAAAAGTCCCACATGCTAATATTTATTTTGACTGCCATTAGCTTTAATTACGGCACACATTTGCCGTGGCATCGTTTCCAAAAGCTTATGCAATGTCACTACATGTATTTCCATCCAGAGTTACATTAATTCTCCACCAAGATCTTGTAGTGATGATGGGAAAATCAGATCAATGCGTAAAGTCTTTTCCAGCACATCCCAAAGATTCCCAATGGGGTTAAGATCTGGACTCTGGTGGCCAATCCATGTGTGAAAATGATGTCTCATGCTCCCTGAACCACTCTTTCACAATCTGAGCCTGATGCTTCCTGGCATTGTCATCTTGGAATATGCCCAATGTGTCATCAGGGAAGAAAAAAAATCCATTGAAGGAAAAACCTGATCATTCAGTATATTCAGGTAGGCAGCTGACCTGGGCACATAGCATTGCTAAAACCTAGATCTATTATCCAGTGGAAGACTCTGATCTATTTGCTTAGCTAAATCCATATGGTGACCTTTTTTTGGACAGGCAATGCATATGCCAATGTTAGTATAATAACAGGTCCACTTGCTATAATGACTTAGCAAAAGATGTTATTAGAACAATGTGCTCAAAATGTGTTATTAGAAGGTCCCTGGAAGGTTGTCTAGTGAGCTATGGCCAGTCAGACTCCTAGTATTGTACAGCAAGGCTTTGGTTATGGGTCTAGACCAGGGGTAGGCAGGCAACCTTGGCTCTCCAGGTGTGCTGAAACTACAAATGCCTCTGGGAGTCATGCCTGTGGCTTGCAATGCCTTATGGGATTTGTAGTTTCAGCACAGCTGGAGAGCCAAGGTTGCCTACCCCTGGTCTAGAGGCTATAGGTCAGGATTAAGCTGATACATTGTTTCATAGAATATAATATTTCTTGCAATTGGTGATGTGCTGCTTGTCCAAATTTTGAATGGATTGATTTAATGATGACTGTTGATCCGATCATCTTCTCTCTTCTTCTCCTGGCCAAAGATCTCTACTGCACATGGGCCCGCCCGAGAATCTTCAAAACTTTGGCCGGGAGCACATAGGTAAGTAATTACCTTTTTGGTAACTTTTTAAAATGTTTTTGCATACATTTACTGCTTGCTAGCAGTAGATATATGCAAAAAAACCTCAGGTTTAATTTTACTATAAAATACCTTCCCTTGATGAAGACATCCAATCCTAGCTTAACATGTGACTTGTCAGGAACTCCAAGGCCATGTAATCCTGCCTACTTTCTAAGGCCTTGTTCACACCAGACAGTGCATTCCGGCCTGATTCGTGCTGGAATGCACTCCATCGCATTGCGGCTCTTTGGAACGGCTCAATGCCAATTGGCTGGGAAGCCGGCTTTCTGGCAAATCAGCTTCGAGCCTGCTTCCTGTTCCCAAGTGGCACTGCCGCTCAGAGGAAATCTCCCTCGGACCGGAAGTGCCAGTAACGGGGAAGGTATCAGAGGATTTGGGCAAGTACAAGTATCGGCACCGATACTAGTATCAGTATGGGTGCATCCTTAATAATATACCCTTGTTGAAATTCAGAGGGTCCGTCCATTGGTTTGGAAGTGTAAGATGTCTTTTGAAAATGGGAACTAAAGAAATGTATAAAAGATGATAATGAACTTGCAGGCTTACAATGCTGATCCCCATTTTTCCCACATCTGAGGCAAGTGTTCACTTTTACATCCTGAGGCGTGTTTTAATAATCTAATCCACAGTAGCTCTAAAAAGACAACCTCTTACATACTGCAGGGTTAAACGCGAAAGTTCCGCCGACCAGCACTTAAGCCAGATTTCCATACAGATGCACAGGGCTAAGACAGACACATGAGACAACAGAAGCCGATGTGAGGGGTGGAAAAAAAATATGAGGTACTGCAACCACAAGTTTCAGACAGCAGCATAATCAAAGAATGGCTGTGTAATATCTCTGTTCTCCCCAATAAGAAACTTGAAATTGAGGGCTAATAGGAAACAAAGCAAGCAGAGTCGAAATGGCTCTGTTTACCATTACCACTGATATAAACGCTCTGAGAAAAGCAGAAAACCAGACTGCATATGCTTGCACAAAAGATAAAAACAAGTGCGTCATCCAATCTTAGCCCCGGCCTCTTAAAGTGACCACAGGAAGTTTAAATAAATGTAGACAGACTCCACATAAAAAGGCATTTAGCCAAATAGGAGTCTAAAAGCACACAGCCCCTAGTTAAATAAAAAGGAGGGAAAAACACCCAACCTTAAAAACATGAGGTAAATACATTTCGTTTTACTCACAACTCCATGGCCCTGTTCCCAACATAACACCAAAACTCCTGGCCTGTCCTTTTCATGATGAAAACAGGAACACAGGACCACCACAGGATGAAGCAGAAGTACTGAGACCAGAAACCATCTGCTTTATGACAACTAGAGAAAATTCCAGGATTTAACTTCTCACATGAATAGCTTTATCGGCTAGCTAGAGACTCCCAGGATTTAATAATATCCAGTATGAATCAATTAGCAGCTCTTGGTAGTGGAATTTAAACTGAAATAATAAACCAGAAGGGATGTCCATTCTCCTGAGGACACCAATTGAAACTGGCAGGGGGGAGGGGTTATGTCCTTAAAGTGGCAGGCTTTTCATTTTTATTTCACCCCCGAGTGTCCATTTCTCCTGGAGGCAGAAGCATAATCCTACGTCTCAAGTCTGCAGAGCTGTGTTCCTCAAACAACACAGGTCAGTGGTCATAAAGTGTGTGAAGCTTTACTACTTCTTTAGTTATACTTGGTATAAAAACTCCACCTTTTTCCAACAATAAATCCAGATCAAACAAATCTACATTGCCCAGAAAAGTACATCTTTATGTTTGTCAAAAGCACTTTGTTATCATGTTTCCAAACAGCCGATTCCAACAAGCTCACAAGGGACAGCACAGTTGCAGCTGTTCATTTACCAGCTTGGAGAAGCAAGGGGAGCAGGAAGGGGAGTGGCTTGCCTTGCAGTGTGGAGACAAACAGCTTATGGCCATACACAGGGGAGGCTCCATAGTACCCTGCAATGGAAAGCAGCCACCCCTAAAACAGGATATCAGGGCCAGTGCTCAAGGGACCAGCGGATTCTTGTGATTTAATTAGCATTTTGAAATAGCTGAGAAACCGTTTGACTTTAATATCAGTGTAAATATATTCTTCAGTAGCTGCAAAAAAAAAAAAAATACAAATCCAATTGTGTGCAATTTACAGTAATTGGTGCATTGGATGATCATTGTCCTATTATGCTCCTGGATTGTCTGAGGGTTAGGAATCGTGGTTGGAATATCTATTGTATTGTTCATGTTGTGTTGTATTGTATTGTTTGTAGTTTGTTTCCAGACTACGTGTTGTATAAGCTATCTTATATTGCAAACTTAATAGATGTAAAAAATCCAATTGTGTGCACCAAATGTCATTGCAAACCTAGATATTACCCTGTAAAAGCAGCAGTGACATCATCACCATGCTGTGGGAGAAATGCAGAAAGCTCACACACTTCAGGCTGCTTGCAGAAAACTACAGGACTGGGCAGATACAAGACCAGCCACACTGCACAAGGAGAGAGAACAGTGGTGACTGGTTCTCTTACTACAGGAAGCTTCTGCACAGAGGCAGTTCACACTGAATTACTAGACAGATCTGGAACACACAGAAAGCCACGTCTTTTGTATTTAGAGAATATTTCTGTAGCTCGGAGTTGAGCTTTAATTGTTAGGCCAATGTCACAGGACCAATCCTGTCACTGGCAACAGAATAATTAACAGACCACCAACCATTATGTATGGAGCTAACCCATGTCCTGCTATACAGAGATGCTGCTCCCTTGCTAGCAATTAAGATTCAGCAACATCCCAGGCCTGCAAAGAAATGGTGCAATTATAGGGTCTGTTAAAGGGTAATTCCACTTTACCAGGTGAATTTTGGAAATTGAAAAATCACACCCTCCAGTCTTGCCTCCTTCTCCCCCCCCTGCTGTACTTACCTTTGAGTGAACACCCCTTTCCCCTCCATCAGTGTACTATGCGTACCCCATACTGCTGTGTGGCAAAGCTCTGCACTCTGTATTTTGAATTTCCCTTGCAAATGGCAAACACTCATAGGCGACCGCGCTGATCAATGAGAAGTGTTTCTTGACCACGATGACCAATGAGAAACATTTCTTGTGCTGACCAGTAAGTGCTCGCCATTTGTGAGTGAAATTCAAAATAGAGTGCAGGACTGCACCCCACAGCAGTATGGGGTACAGAGGAGAAGGCGTGTTCAGCCAAAAGGTAAGTATAGCGAGGGGAGAGGGGCCCAGATTGGAAAGGGTAATTTCACCTGGGAAAGTGGAATTACCATTGAAAATGTGGTTATTTGTTTGAGAAGTTCAAAAAAATGACCTGTTGATCTTGCCAGAAATCTTGGGTGGTAATTTCCTGTGCTCTTACAGTGATTACTGCGAACAGTTACATTGTTACTACTAGGTTATGATGAACAGGAGAGGGATGAGGTTCTGTCTTGTTTCCATCGTCCTGATATGAAGGTGCGAATGTATGTCGTCGTCCTCGGACTGAAAGTGTTACCTTGCCTGGCACCTGCCTCCTAACAACTGGTAGCGCAGCATTCCCCTCCCCCAAAATGTGATTTTAAAATGATGATTATAAATATAAAAAAAAAGATGAACACAACACTCAGCACAATATTTTTATTTTACCCTCAGTCTTAAAGATACAACTGATGAAACCGATGAGTAAACTGCAATTATCACGGACAGGATTTAGAAGGACCAATCAACTTAAAGCTGAAAGCCAGCGAGTATTAATGGCACTGAAGCGCAGCCTTTCCTCGCAGTAACTATACCCTAACCCTAATTTTTACTGAAGGGGAAACAAAATTGTGCAAATCAGAGGGGGGAAAAAAAAAAAAAAACCAAGACAAAACACATGACATTAAGACAAGTTTAAAATGTATCCATCACTTAAAAGTCAGCCACAGCATTACACAGATCATTTCCCACACTAGATTTATCATTCACCAACCAAACCATAATAGGCTTTAACAGTCGTTCCATTTTAAAAGATGGACATAAATAAATCAGTAGCATGGTAGGACCAAACGATTTTCAGGATTGTAAATAAGGTTTAGAATACTCCAGCACTGACATTCTAGGACTTGTAGCTTTTTCTTGGCACTTGGGATGACCCCTGGGAAGCGCCCTGCAAATGCTGAACCAAGAAAAGTGTGTATGGAGCCTTGTGACCCAGTTCATAATTCATGGATATAAAAGAGACACAATAAGCATCTGCTGTTTTCTATGGCGTCTCCCAGAGAAGTCTAGCTGTATGAAGAATAACTGTAAAACAGACAGCGTTGCCGACTTCCAATGCAGTATAAGCAGGATGCTAAAGCTACAGTGATGACCAGTCTCTAATATTCAAGACCAGATTGTTGGGATTTTAAGATTGTACTTAAATCCCCAAAATAAAACATGTGATCCAAAAAGGGATTGGGAAGTATACATACATTTTCAGTCATTAAGAAATAAATATGAGTAGACAATCACTCACCATAAACTACGTTGATCAGTCATCCAATTGCAATTTTAACCTACTTAAATAGATTTTTATATTTACAATAAAAACACTTAAAACCTAACTGTCAAACATTTCTGGTTGTACGCTGTCAGGCAACGGGTGCCGGTTAGAATAAAAAGTATTTTCAAGTGATAATTAAGACAAAATGAGCATACACAGATAAACAGTTACTCCGCTGAGAAAGAAGGAACCGTAATCAATACAGTTTTCAAAATCAACTCCACCTCTGGATTTACTCAAACTATGAATACATTTACTAACCACCGTTTGGGCTGTAAATCCCAACCATTCTTAGGCCCCATTCACATGTAGCGACATACCTTTGCAGCGGCCGGGATAGTGCGACTTTCAGGGCGACGTTCCAGCGACGGTAGCGCGACCATCTCAGTCGGGCTCCATAGAAAACAAAATCGCGCAAAATCCGCCGAAAAAAGGGTCCTGTAGAAGCGACTTGCGACCGCGACATGGAGCTAAGACAGCTCCATTGACCATTAGCCGGCGACTTCTCGCGATATCGCACGGCAAAAATGCGCGAAATCGCGCGATAAGTCGCTACATGTGAATGGGGCCTACGCCCTATACAAATTCTCTAGTGGAGCATTTAAATGATTTAGGGCTCACAAACGTGTGTGCGCGTGTTAGATTTGTTGGGTGCTGCACAATGGTAGAATTGTCTGTGGTGCTGGACCCACTAAGTTGTTAATACGGTCATTTAAAATAGAACTATGGGGAAACCTTCTCTCCCCCCC